GGAAGTGTGATGCCAGATATTCTTTAAATGTAAAGCTTCACTACTCTTTGATGTTTGACCTCTACAGTACCTTGCATGGGCTACGAGTGACATACATGTGATTTCCAACAAGGAGGGTTAATTAAGAGATAAAATTGTAATCTTTCCTTTTTTCTTGTACTGGGCATTGAACCCAGGGCCTTTACACTCAGCTACATCCTCAGCCCCTCTTTTTAAGTGTTAATTTTGAAACACTGTCTCATTAAGTTGCCCAGGCTAGAGTTGAATTTATGATCCTCCTACCTCAGTTTTCCAGAGTGCTGGGATTACAGGTATGTGCCACCATGCCGTTATCACAGGAAATATTGAAAGGTGCATACAAAGAATTATATACATATAAGGTGCTCATTATTACACCTTATTACAGTAATAAAAATCAGAAACAACCTAAATAATTGATCATATGGAGCCTTTTAAAGATTGGCCCTGCTAGAAATACCAGAAGTCCACAATAATCATAGGAGATCGTACACCAAAATGGTGTGATCGTTCACTCCGCACGGTCCTTGGTGCCTCAGTTCCTTGTTTTGTCACGCTGTTGTGTCTTTCATACCTAAGAATCTGTCATAGACCAAAGTGGCTACTCCAGTTCTAGTCAGGATGTACAAATTTCAGTCAGTGAGATGAGATGAGGGCTGGGAAAAGAAGGTCGGGGGAGTGCTGGCCAAACAAAAATGGGCAAAGTTCATCTTCTAAGGAACAATCCAAAGGTTGACTCACAACACTCCTATTTATGTTCTGCCAACATAGTTATCCAACAGAATTGCTAACCTATTAGAAAAGATAGAAACTATGCAACGGTTATTACTTAGACTTAGTGCTTGCACTGATGAGGGTTGAACTTTAGGCAAAGGACAACTCAGGTAGTTGGTCAGAAAGGAGTCACTTTTTCTACATTTACCTGCTTGAGATTTTCCAGTTTTCTATTTCATAAAATATAAAATTTTGTTTTCTTATGTTGAGGAGAGGGAGTCCCATTGGAATGTTTTGCACCTCCCACCCAGTTCATATACTTTTTGTTTTTTCCTAAGAAAGATCTCACTACATCGTCCAAACTGAACTTGAACTCACTGTGTTGCTGGGGCTGGCCTCAAACTTGTAGTAATCCTTCTGTCTGAGATTCCCGATTGCTGGGGTTACAGGCCTGCACCACCACAACCGGCTCACTTCATATACTTTTTACTCTTAATCTGTTACATAAAGTTGCCTTCCAACCTACTGCTTGTACACTATCAGAGGCTGGTAAAACTGCCTTCTTCTCAGTCAAGTAGGGGATGCTTCCATCAACCAAGTAATGCTTGGGCTGGGGATTTAGCTCAGTGGCAAGGCAGGCACAAAGGCCTGAGTTTGATCCTTGGTACTAAAACAATCAGTGCTTATTACATCCTCTAGTAAAATGCTTTGCATGTGATAGAAGCACACTTATTGTTATTCATTTAAATAAACTGATCTTTGACTTGAATTGTACCAAATACCACATAAGAAACAAGTCTATTCTCTTAATTTGACTCTAGATAAGGAGATACCCAAAATAACAGAGAACGGTAGAAACAGTAGAATACTATTCTCATTAGATGCTAAGTGGAAATGGTCTAGGCCATAGTTGGTATAAAAGTTCAGTTAAGGTTAAATGCAGGGAAGGTATGTAGTAAAGAATTCAGCCTTACCGAAGGAGCAGTCTAGGTTCTGTCCTTGGCTTCTGGGAGGTGATCTGTGTCATACCTGATAGCATTCTCTTTCCCTCTCCCTCTGCCTTTCTCTTTATTTCAGTATTAGAGATTGAACCCAGGTCCTCCTGTATTATAGGCAAACTACCGCTGAACTACATCCCCAACCCCGACTTTTTAAAAAATTTTATTTTGAGATAGGATCTTGCTAAGTTGCCCAGTATGGCCTTGGACTTGTGATCCTTCTGCTTCACCTAAGATTACAGGTGTGCACCATCATGCCCATCTGGACTTTGACTAATTTTAATCTGTATTGTCTCTCTGAGATTAAACTGTAACCATGAATAGGACAGCTTTCAGTGACAGCTATGTGAATTATGGAACCTGAGGGTGATCTGGGGAACCCTTGAACTAGTAATTACTAACTGGTGTCAAAAAGAAGGGCAGGGTAGGGGGCTGGGCCCTCTAAACTTTCAATTGGCCCTAAATCCCTTGCAGAAGGCTTTGTGGAGCAGGTAGCACTGAAGGCAAGTCCTAGAAAATGAGTGAGGTAGTAGAAGAGGTAGAAAGAAAAGCTGGGAGGAATCTCAAGGGATCAGAAGCCAGAGGTGGGCATTCTGTGTGAAAGGGGGAATCCCAGTGGTATTGAACAAAAGGCTCTGTTTTCCTGACTTCAGTGTCTTCATCTTTCTGAGAATGTTGGTCACCTCAGAGATCCGTCACTGACAGACTTGGAGAAAGGTTGTATAAGAAATTTTGGAGTGAACGTCCACATATGCTCAGCCTATCTTTAAATTCACAAATCAGCAGCTACTGAAACACACTCATCTAAAAATTAATCACCATTATTCCCAATAAGAATGGATAATATCTCCCACTGTTAGATACCAGAGGAAAATAGTGAAGAAAATATTACAAATTAGTAATGGGAAAACAGTATTTCATGAATTCCTCCTACGTACCAGTTACTATTCTAAGTGTGAAGTACAATGTAATAAAAAAATACTGAACTATCAATAGATCATCAGTAAATATTAGGACTGAGCTCTGGTAAAGTAACACAGGCCTGCTTTTGATCATTCTAACACTACTTACTATTAACACCTTTGTCCTTTCCTTAAACTATATGACCAGTCTTTTTTTTTTTTTTTTTGAGACAGGGTCTCACTATGTAGTTGAGACTGACCTGGAACTCACTATGTAACCCAGGCTGGTCTTGAACTCACAGTGATTCTCCTGCCTCAGCCTCCTGAGTGCTGGGATTACAGGCATGCACCACCATGCCCAGCAGCCAGTCTTAAACTCACTCAGAAATTGTTTACAGGGCTGGAGACCTGTTGCCTAGTATGTGCAAGGCCCTGGGTTCAATCCCCAGCAAAGGAAGAGGGAAAGGGGTGAGGGAGAAAGTGATTACAACCTCAAGATTGCTTACTTAAATGTTAAGCCTGAATCTGTAAATTAGAAGAAAACAGGAGAAACTCCTTGGCAGTAATTTTATAATAAAATTCAAAAAGCACAGACAACAAAAGTAAAAAATAAACAGGTAAAACTATATAAAACTAAAAAGCTTTTGCCCAGAAAAGTCAAAAAATGAAAAGGTAAGCTACAGAATAGGAGAGAATATTTGTAAAACACATCCAACATAGGACTAATATCCAAATATATTAAGAATTTATATAATAGAAAAAAAAATGGCAAAGGGCCTGAATAGACATTTTTCCAAAGAAAATAAGTGGCCAACAGGTATATGAAAAAGTGCTCAACACACTAATAAACAAGAAAATACAGATCAAAACCACAATGAACTACCACTGAGCTAGTTAGGATGGCTGTTTTCAAAATGTCAAATAGCCAGATTTGATGGCACAGACACCTATAATCCCAGCTGCTTGGGAGGCTGAGACAGAAGGAATCCAAGTTCAAGCCCAGCCTGAGAAACTGAATGACTTGGTGAGACCCCATCTCAAAACTAAATAAAATATAATTAAGTAAAATGGGTTGGGGATATAGCTCAGTGCAAAGGCCCTGGGTTGAAGCTCCAGTACTGCAAAAAGAAAAGTGGGGTATGATCTCATATGCCTGTAATCCCAATATTTTGGGAGACTGAGGCAGGAGGATCACAAGTTCGAGCCCAGCCTGGACAATGTAGTAAGACCCTGTCTCAAAATACAAAATAAAAAAGGGGCTGGAGATGTAGCTTAATGTGAAGTCCCTAGGTTCAGTCCCCAGTATCAGAAAGCAGCAGGGGTGGAGAGAGAAGAGGGAAGAGAGACAGGCTTCCTCACTGCTGTCCGGGAATGGAGTCACCAAAAGAAGGGTGCAAAGCACTGCCTGTTCCTTTGCACCTTGCTCAAGTGAGCTTGACTCCAGTAGCAGATTGCGATTCTCTGAAGAGAAGTGGGCTTCCTGCTCTTTGGGATTCATTTTCAGCACTCAGAACTTCTCTTTTCCCTTTTTCTTCCTCTCCTTTTCTTTCTCCCTCTCCCTCACCCTCTCCCCTCCATGTAGCTCAGGCTGGCCTTGAATGTATTTATACTGTTCAGGCTGGCCTCAAAATTGCAGCAATCCTCCTGCCTCAGACTTCCAAGTGCTGGGATTACAGGGATGCACCACCATGCCCAGCAGTGCTTCTTGTTCTTGTGTGCTAAAATTCTATGAAAATATGACCATGTGTTCAGTTTCCAAAGTACTACCCTGATACATTTATGTAGCTCTCTGAGCTGGGAACATATAGGCAGCTGGTGTCACCCTAAGGTACTTCCACTGGTTCCTGTATTCCTAGTTCTCCTCTCAGAGCTTAGCAGGCCATGTTTTATATTCCATTTCCAGGGCTGAAAGTGGGGCTTCTTACTAGTTCTGCTTTCTCCTGAGCCCTTCCCTGCTTGCTGATCTGTCTGTCTTGCTTCCTATAGGAGCATCCCTAAACTCATAGGGCCATAAGGGGGTGGGGGGAGGCCAGGCATATCCCAGCACTCGGGAGGCAGAGGCAGGAGGATCCGAAGTTTGAGTCCTGCCTGGATAACTTGAAAAGGCTGGGTATGTAGCTCAGTGCAAAGGTCCTGGGTTCAATCCCTAGTGCTGTGAGAAAGTGAAGGCTCAATAATAAATTGTGCATTGATTTCTTGATGTTTCATTTTTTGTAAATTGTATCTCTTACTTGAAATCTGAGGCCCTTAAAAGGTAGGGAAACCCCAACTTCAAATATAACTGACACACTGGGCACATACTATTGGAGCTTAGAGGAAGGTTGTACTTAATAAGAAAAGGTGTTCAAGTTGTGCTTCTTGCTTGCAGGACTTTCCCAGATGACCCAGCAGTGCAGTGGGACACGAAGCATGTGGCTAGCATCCTCCTCCAGTACACAGAGGTCAATGGCATCAACCTGGTAAGGGGACGAATCCCTCATTAGAAAGCCCAGGTCCCCGTCCTGTCACATTAGTTGGTTTCAGCAACTTTTCCCATGGCTGCCCTCCCACATCCAGTCCTACTCAATACCCACTCTGTAGAAAGGCCCCAAAACTCCAGTGTTCTCTCCTAAACTTGCTAAGGAACAAACACACCTTTTTTTTTTTTTTTTTAAGTTCTGGGAATTGAACCTGAGGCTATGCACTGAACTACATCCCCAGTTCTTTTATTCTGAACTACATCCCCAGTTCTTTTATTATTTATCTTGAAACAGAGCCTCACTAAGTCACCCAGGCTAGGCTGGAACTTATGATCCTCCTGCCTCAAACTCCCAAGTGTGCTGGACTATGCTCACCTGAAACACACCTTTTAATTGCCTTTTAGATCTTTTGTGAGACTGAGTAACTGAATAATTGATGCAAAGGTACAGACAGAATACTTTTGCAAACTATGTCCTCCTTCCTTCACCTCTGTCTGGCAGGATCCTATGCTATGACTCTTATTTGTATAGAACTACACCTTGTGCCATGCATTTTCACATTTAGAGTATTATTTTCTGTTTAGAGGAAGCAGGGCTTCACAGAGCTTAAACAGTTTGTCCAAAGTAGGCAAGTAGACAAACTGGGATTCTAAAAAAAAAGAATTTTGGGGTACCACGGACTCTACCCAGGACCTTGAACATATTAAGCATGTGCTGTACCACTGAACCACACTGACAGCCCCAAAGCTAGGGTTTGGTTTTGTTTTTTGTTTTTGGTAGTGAGGATCGAACTTGGATCCTTGCACTTGCAAGGCAGGTGGCAGAACCACTGAGCTAAATCCCCAGCCTTCAAAGCTAGGGTTTTAAGCCTCAACTTTCTCACTTCTAAAAACATGAGGGTAATTTCAGACCTACTTCAGAAAGAAAATTTCAGTCACAATAGAGCAATATTAGAGCAATAGCAATAGCAATGGCAGATGTTCGTATTTACTTGCAAAGGTGGACAGGCTTAGCAACAACACATCTCAGCTTTAGTAGGATTTAGTAGGTCTAGACTTAGCCTCTGGCTGATTTTTTTTTTTGTTTTTTTTGTTTTTGTTTTTGTTTTTTGGGACAGGGTCTCACTATGTAGTTGAGACTGACCTGGAACTCACTATATAGCTCAGGCTGGTCTCGAACTCATAGCAATCCTCCTGCCTCAGCCTCCCCAGTGCTGGGATTACAGGCATGCGCCACCACGCCCGGCCAGCCTCTGGTTGATTTTAAAGCTAAGAAGGCTTACTAAATCTCAAAATAATGACAACAATAATAATAGTAATCCTTCCTGGGTTAATATTGTTTAAAACCCTTCTCTGTTAAGTTATGGCTAATCTTCATTAAAAGACGAATCTTGCTTTTAACAATAATGAACTCATTGACTGAAGTGATTAGACCTTCTTTTTCTTTTCTTTTAAATAGCAAAACATTTATTGGTACATTTTACACATACATAGTGATAACAGTCATCATAGGGTCTTTTTTTCCTTTTTGGTTTTTTTGAGAAGAGGTCTCACTATGTAGTTCAGGCTGGCCTGGAACTCACTACATAGCCCAGGCTGGTCTTCAACGTGGGGTGATTTTCCTGCCTTAGCTTCCCAAATGCTGGGACTATAGGCATGTGCTACCACACCTGGCTTTAGACCTTTCTTAAGAGAGGATCTACACTGATACATTAATCAGTCTGTTTTCAAATGGAAAATATACAACAGCAATTTAGTGCACACAGACAATAATGTGCACCTCACTGCTCGCTCTCAGTCACATCACGGCTGAGATGCAGGTGGGCCCCAAAGGCCCTGACCCTGCTGGACTCTTCCATCTTGTTTTTTTTTTTTTTTTTTTGGCTTTCTTCCTTTTCCTGGATGGAAAATGGTTTTTAAGTTTGCAAGCCCACACATCTTGCCTTCCCTTCCCAGATCTGAACAGGAAAGCAGTAGATTACATTCATGAGTTTGAGTCAAATGTCCAGCCCCGCTGACGGACTGACCTTAGTCCTTTTAGCCAACCTGCCTCATTCTCCCACAATCGGGACATCTCAGCTGTGCAGAAAGAGCTGCTCTTCATGGCCAACCTTAAGTCTACTTGTCACCCTGTTCTCTTTTGTTGTGGCTTCCCCAGGTCCATTCCCCAAATCCTCCCTCCCTTTCCCACTTTAGTGCTTAACCAGTGTTGTTCTCCCCATTCATGCTTACAGGATAAACTCTCATCCTTTTAAACTTAGAATTCAAAGCTGTCCTTGAACCAGTCCCCACTTTAAGCCTAAACACTGGTGACAGCTAGGTTTATTTTTCAGACCACATTGTGCCCGATCTGGGCCTTGAATATCTAGAGGTGGCACTTCAAAACTGCTCTGCATGCCTTTTTTACTCACGTTTGGGTCTCAGAAAGGTGATTTGTGGCCCAGGCCCACCTCAAGAACCCCTTCTCCGAGAAGGGTTCCTTGTCTTCTTTAGCCCTTTTGGGGATTTTCACAGTATTTGCTGTGTGTGCTTTGCATGTGGCAGGTGTTGCTGTTTACCTTTTAAAGTGCAGACCATGTCTTGCAAACTAGAGTAAGATCTGTGAAGGTCAGGACTGTGCCTGACATCTTTACATCTCCAGATTCAGAATAGAGCCTCAGAGAGTGCTCCTCCCAAAACTGCCACTTTCCTGCCTGGAGGGCTTTTCTGAAGGTGTGCAGGGCAGTTAACATTCACTCAAGTGAGTGACAAGGCCTTCACTGACAAGTGAATTGTGAATTGATTTAACTACTGTCAATGAGAATCATTTTACAATAGCACTTTGCTAATAAATTACTTGCAACACATCCTACTACTCAAAAGGAAATACAGGCTGTCACGGTGCAATTGGGAATGCTTTCTCTGACCTATACTTATTTAACTACAGTAGAAGTGCAGGATCATGTTAACACTATGACCAGTGTGGCCATAACTCACAGGAAAGGAGCTAAACATGGGTTTCCATTCAACTTCCTGCATCACAGTTAAAATGTACTTTTACACAGAAGAACAGTCCCTGCAGGGCTAGGGCTGAGGCAGGTGAGGAGACATTCAGTGGCAGAATACTGTACCACGGCCAGGCGTGGTAGCGCACGCCTGTAATCCCAGCACATGGGAGGGTGAGGCAGGAGGATCGCTGTGAGTTCGAGACCAGCCTGGACTACACAGTGATTTCCAGGTCAGTCTCAACTATATAGTGAGACCCTGTCTCAAAAAAAAAAAAAAGAATATGGTACCAAGATGAGAGCATGAATCTTGCGGGTCCCCAGTTACTCCATTCAGACTGGAAGTACTGACTACACATTGAGAGATGGTGAAGTCCCAAAAATGTAGCATATATAGAACTGGAGAACACAGAGCTGAGTCATGGGAAGAGTTTATCACCTGGGTGGTGCCAGGAAGAGACTAAACACACTTCTTTGCCCAAGCTGGCTTGGCAGCCATCAGCATGGTGTGATGGCAGGAAACTGAGTTCCATCTGGTCCTGTGTCTGCCGTAGCCTTTCAAGCTGTCTACCCTGTTCCCTACAATAGCATCACGAGACCAACAAGGTGTGACTGACGTGACAGGGCTTTGGCAAGTGCAAAGCTGCACTCTACAGAAAGCAGAGTAGGAGGTTGGTAGGGTCTTCTTTGGACATCAGGTGGGCTAGGTCTTAGGCCCTAAGCCTTGCCTCATCTGTCATTCAAAAATTTAGCTGTTCAGGCTGGGGATTTAGCTCAGTGTTTCCACCATCTGCCTCGCAAGTGCAAGGTCCTGAGTGCAATCCCTGGTACCAAATAAATAAATAAATAAAGTAAAAACTCTAGTTGTCCAACACCTTCTGTAGGACATTCACAGTGTAGAGAATGGGGACTGCAGCAGAAAGCCAAACGTACCTAATCCTTGCTCCCTTAGAGTTGGGTGTCTCAGCTGTAGCACTAGACATTTTGGGGTGGACAATTCCTTGATGTGGGAACTGTCCTATGCACTGTAGAATGTTTAGTAGCAAGACCTCTCCTCAGGTGTCACAATGAAAGTGTTTCCAAAGATTTCCAGATGCCTTAGAAACTGAAGTGCCCTACAGGTTCCCTATTGTTCTCTTTCTGTTGTCGTCATTGTCCTCCTCCTCCTCTTCCTTCTCTTCTTCTTCCTCCTTCTCCTTCTTTCTTCTTCTTCTTCCTTGCTGGTGATTGAACCTAGGGACTTCACACAGATTGCTCATAGTGATCTAATTTTATCTTCAGCAATCTATTAAGAAAAGCAGGACAGTGTTACTCTCTTGATATCACACAGGTAGAAGCCAAGATGTTCCAAGTAGAAAAGACTTTTGATAATACAGCTCTGTAGCTTGCCCAGGGTGCTGCAGGTGATCAGTGTTAGGATTACTAGGCATAGCCCTCCCCTATTTGTGTTGCATGAAACATGTAGGATCAGCACTGGATATGTGAGTTATATGATTAGCATTTTTATACTTTTTTGGTTGTTTTGCTCCATTTCGTCAGTACTGGGAATTAAGTCCAGAGCCTTTGAACTGAACTACACACCCAGCCTTACTTTATATTTTTATTCTGAGACGGCGTCTCAGTAACAAATTAAGTTGCCCAGGCTGGGCTGGGCTGATTCTCCTTTAGTCTCCCAGAATGCTGGGATTAGAGGTGTGAGCCACCATGCCCAGCTTTCAAAGATTATATTTTAGGGCAGTTTTAGATTATATCTCGTAGGATCATTTGGAGAAATAAATGGGATAACGAGTGGGAGAAAGTTCTGATAAAGATAACACCCTATTTAGGTACTATTCGTACTGGTAGTATTTGAAATAGCAGTTGACTGGAAGGTGGGTTGGCCTACAATCCAAGAGGAGGAAAGGAGACAAGATTAAGCCCAGGTGGGACTATTACATTACAAAATGGACATACTGCAACAAATATGCCTTTGTGCTTAAACAGAAAACTTTAGAAATAGATCAATGAAGGAAGATTTGGAGCTGTGTATAGCTGAAGAGGAAGACTGTCTCTTAAAAGTGAGCAGAAGTGCGTATTGGGCTGGGAGTGTAGCTCAGTGCCTTCTGTAGCATGCTGGGTGCCCTGGGTTCTGTCCAAAATGTGGAGGGAAGAAGGGGAAGAAAAGCAAGCAAGAGGGAGAGAAGGATGAAAGGAAGAAAGGGATGGGTGTTGAACACTCTACAAGACCAATACTGGACCACTGGAAATGACACTGCTATGTCCCAAATGGTCCCTCATTATTTTCCCCCTTATATTAGATTCCTATGGTTGTTGCAACAAATTACCACAAATTTGGTGGCTTAAGACAACAGATTTATTTTTTTACTATTCTGAAGTTCAGAAGTCCAAAAATCGATTTCACTGAGCTAAAGTCAAGGTGTTGGCAAGCCTGGTTCCTTCTGAAAGCACTGATGGGAAAATTTATTTCCTTACCATTTTCAGCTTTTCGTGATCACTGTATTTCTTAGCTTATGAGCCCTTCTCCATCTTCAAAGTTTATCATGCCAATGTGCGCTCCTTGTTGGCACGTCCTCCTTCTCTGACCCTCTGTCCTTGTAAGGATCACTGATACTACATTTCAACCCACCAGCTAATGCAGAATATCCCCACCTCAAAATCCTTAATTTAATCCATTTTCAAAGTCCCTTTTGCCATGTGAGGTAACATTCAGAGGTTCCAGGGACTAGAACATATTTGGGGGAATAATTATTCAGCCTACCAAGAAATCTTACTCCACAGGACTTATTCACACTGAGGTGGCAGAGACTGATTACAATTCTAAGGATAACTTCGCCTTTAATGGGGACTTGAGTTTTACACTGAAGGATTGAGGTTCTCAGGGTGACAGTTAAGAAATCTGCTGGTAGTTGACAGAGATCGAAGCACATGTTTCTAATAGTAGGCTCATTCTTAATCAAGACTGGCCCTGGGAAAACCTTCCTGTATAGAGTACTTGATTCCTTGGAAACATTTCAATAATGGCATGAAACAAAAAGGAAGGGAGAGGGGATTTGCCAAAGAGCTTCTTAGTTTTAAGGGATGTAGCCATTCCCTGGCAGAATTCTTCCCTGGTACTGGAAGATCATCTTGAGATTTCCCCCTGGATATCTGAGACCTAGGGAATTTACCAGTGGATTATCTTCACCTGAGGTGGTACTATTTCTTGATGGTGTTCCCAAAGAATAATTCTCAAATCTCAGAATCCTCCAGGGACCAGTCAACATGTCTTACAGTTTTAACTAGAAAGACCAAGAGTGAATCCCTCCCCAGCCTATTTCAGTCTCTGTTCGAAGTCCCTTCATCCATGCTGTGTCACCACCTTTCCCTGGGAAAGTCTGCCACTTTCTGTCATCCTCTAACTGTCCTATTCCTTTTCCTGAATCCTTGTTTATTTTTTCATATTTCTTTATTATCCTGGCTGTTTTTTATTGTCATTATTCAAATAATCCTTTGATCTTTTAAATCTACCTGTGCCAAAATAGAATGTTAAATACTAGACTAAACTTCCAGTTAGTAAACTGATGTTGATCTATCTGTGAAAATGGAAGCAAGGAGTCTATGAACAGATAGTTTTTCTGTGAACTCAACCCGAGTACACAGTGGTTATTGACCTATAAAGATTTTGTGCCTGTGGTATGGCATAAGGAAAAGAGTCCAAATAAATCAGGCAGCACCTTCCTGAGCAAAGTTCACATTACAGCCAGCTAGAAAAATTAAATGTGCTGATAAATAGTTAAGCAGATAAGCAACAAAGATATTGTGAACCAAGTTTCTGTCATGGCTGAATTATACTGTGCTCTACTGGCCAGGAATAAGAGCGAGCAGTAAATCCACGAAAGCCATCTTCATTTTAAAATCAGCCAGGCCAATAGCCACATACCATTGATCTGCTCAGGAGTCAGTTCAGATATCCTCAGAATCTGAAGTTTCAGGGCTCTACTCGCTCCTTCTGTTCCCAAGTGAATGGCAGCAGCTACTCTGAAGCTGAGGCAAGAGATATAGTGAAAATCCTGTCTCTCTCTCTCTACAGGTGGTGACTTTCGATTCAGGAGGAGTCAGTGGTCACAGCAATCATGTTGCTCTGTATGCAGCTGTGAGGTATGATTTCTCAGGATTGGAGGTGGAAGAGGGTTTGCCCATTTACTTAAAGGTCACAGTTGCTAAAGCACTTTCCCCCTGGATATCTAAGGCCTAGAGAATTTACCAGTGAGTCACGGGTGGCTATGCTGCTCACTACATCTCACCACACCATCTCTATGATCTCTCACAAGTCTCAGTAGAAATGCTCATCTTGGGCCAGGGATTTAGCTCAGTGGTTCCACTGACTGCTTTGCAAGCACAAGGTCCTGAGTTTGATCACTGGTACCAAAAAAAAGAAAAAGAAAAGAAATGCTCATCTCCTAAACAGCTGATTTTTTTTTTTTAAAGCCCCTGGACATGGCAAATGTGGTAACTGGATTCGTTTCTTTAATGTGGACACAGAAAGCTTCTGGGCCAATTTTGCAACTCCTGTAGTACATGGATGGTGCGTGCCTGTAGCCCCAGCACTCAGGAGGCTGAGGCAGGAGGATCACTGTGAGTTCAAGGCCAGCCTAAACTACAAAGTGAGACCATGTCTCAAAAAACAGACAAATAAAAAGACTTCAAAGAATGAGCTCTGTGGATCAGTATATCCTCTGGCTTCATCTTCTTCCTCTTTACTCTCATTTTTATTTTAATCTGTCATTATGAATTTTGTACAATACCTCCAGGCTTTCTTTGGAGAAGGGCATAACTTATAAAATATGAAATCTCACCTATTCGTCATAGCCACTGAGGTTTAATGATATTTTCTTTCCACTTTACCAATAAAACCTAAATGGAACCTCAAAGATTCTGAACAACTTAGGGTCATACAAACACAGTCTTTCCTGTCCCCTAGAGACGTGCTTCTGCTGGGACCCAAGTCAGCAGTGTGCTGGGCCTTTCCTGGCTGAGCAAGTGGATTGAAAGTCTCACTGTATAATCTTTGTCTAATATGCTCCACAGTCTCAGACTGGACCCGTGAAATATATGAAGTTGGAAATGACTACGTCTCAGCCATCACATGTTTGACTGAGGCCATGAAGGGATTTGCCCAGGACTGTAAGGTTCAACAGTGGCAGAGAAAGAACCAGAATCTCATTCTTCTGTCAGGTACCTGTGAAGGCAGATTCATCCTGAGGACCCTCCAGCCTTCTCCTTAAATTGCACATCACTGAGTGGAAGATGCAGAAATCATTCCCCCATACTCTTTCCAGATCACAGTCCCTGATTTGACCAGACTGCTCTCTCAACCTACAAAGACTAGTCACTTCATGAGCAGCCAGAGGTCATGGTTATAGAGATCTGTTGTGAGATTCTTTGTGTCTATTAGATTCAGGAAAGACACATTCCCCAGCTTCAGTCAATCTTTTTTTTTTTTTTTTTGCCCCCAGTAGTGGGTATCAAACTCAGAACCTTGTGATTGTAAGACAGGCATGTTGCCATTTAGCTAAATCCCTAGCCTTACAATCTTTTGTGTGTGTGTGTGTGTTTTGTTTTTTGAGACAAGATCTCACTGTGTAACCTATGCTGGCCTTGAACTCAGTGATCCTCCTGCCTCAGCCTCCTGAATACTGGGACTACAAGTGTATGCCACCATACCCAGCTTGTGATTCTGTAATTTATAGTTTGCGATGTTTCTGTGACAATATATGGAAAAGCAAGGCAGCCCAGAAGTAGTGTTTCTAACCATGTAGTTAATGTTGGGGCCTTGGGCTCTCAGGACAGGCATGAACAGGAAGCGAATAAATTTGTGACATTTTTTAAACCAACTATTCATACTGTATCAGATAAAGGATCCAATCAGGTATTCTTCAAACAAACCAAGATCACCATAACAGGCAGGGTTGCCAGGACACTGAGGTTGTCTTAGCTTGCTCCGTCCCTGGTCCAGTCTGCACTAAAGTGGGGAAACCAGGGAAGGCTCCCTTCCAGTAGAAAACCCACCCAGGGAAGCCACCTTCTATAAGCAGAACTTCCTGGGGCTATTTTCCTCAAGAGGTAGGAGTACCACAGGCTATCCATATTCCATGTCTTCTCTACACTAATGGGGCCACTGCCCTTCATATAAAAACCACTTATGGTCACGCTCACCATCTTCTAAATCTTTTCTCCACAGTCACTCTGGCCCGCTAAATTCATCAGACTCATTTTAGTTCTCACTTGGCCTTTCTGTGGCATCTGGCTCTGCCTCACACTCACTGAATTGCTGCTTTGACTGCCTGGCACTGGCTGGCCCTACCCACTCTGGCTTTTCTGGCTCTCGGGCCCCTTCCTGTCTTCCCCTGCCATGGGAGGCACCTCTCTGCCATCCCCAGGGCTCTATACATAACCTTGCTCAGTGAGTATCCTTATGGTATAAGGTTGTCAGTGTGAGTGCCAGATGCAGGCCTGCAGTGCTCACCTCTTCTTGTGGATATCCTGACCACAACAAAATCAGAGTCTCCAGAGTGCAGGACAAGTCATCTCCTTTTCAGGTTCCCAGAGACAAAGCTTTGTCAGGCTTTTCTACTTCTTGGGTTGGTGCCAGAGTGAGTTCCATAAGCTGATCAACTCTCTCAACTCCTTCACCCCCTTTGCCAGATCATTGCTGTTGGGCTCATGTCATCCCTTACTCTCAGGTGGGAATTGGGGAGCTCAGAAAAGAAAAAGGAAATATCATGGAGGAAATACCATCGAAGAAGTATCACCTAATACTTTAAAATATTCTCCTGTCATACATCACAGAGAAAAACTATGAAGAGACCAAGCTATTCACCTTCAAGCCTAACAGGCAAAGCTTGCTTGGAGTCATTTTGTAAGCCATAGCAGCTTTGGGATTAGCTGTCCTTGGGTAAGGTGCCCACCCAGATTCCTTCGCTGTAGCTAGAATCATGGAATCCTGGCAATCTAGATGATGATGTGTGCAAAAGAAACCCCCTGGGAACCTGTATGAAGGCACCACGGGCTCTGCAGGCCTTCCTCCATGGGCTGCTTGGTAACACAGAGGAGGGGCAATTCTTAACCTGCTCTCTTTTTCTCTCTCCCTCCAGGGCCCTGTACTCAGAAGGGAAGTTCCCTGAAGGTAAGGCCTGTCTTTTTGGCAAAAAGCTGTTTGCTATCCCTTGTAGAAACTTATCAGAGAGAGATTTGCAAATATTGTTGGCTCTCCATATCCACAAATTCCAAATCCGTGGATTCAACTACCACAGATCAAAATTACTCAGGAAAAAATTGCTTCCGTACTGAATATGCACACTCTTTTCTTGTCATTGTTCCCTACAGTATAACAACTATTTACATAGTATTTACATTACATAAGCCTAGAGATGTTTGAAAGTGGAAGACAAACACGAAGTATACAGATTCTATACAAATACAATGTAATTTTCTATGAGGGACTTTGAGCATCCAGATTTTGGTATTTGTGGGATTCCTGGAATAAATCCCCACCTGGTATTGAGGGATGACTGTACAGTAAGAGTGGAACAGAGGCAAAAGCTGGGAAGGCAGCCTCACTTCCTGACTCAGCTCTGTGTGCCTGTCAAGCCATATCCACTAGAAAGTGCCCTGCCAGAGGGCTGAATCCAGATGTGCTGAGAGGCCAGGCTTGCCCTCACATCTGTCTAGTTTTCTCACAGGATAGGTCTCTCCAGCCTCTGGTGTTCTGCCAGTCTGTCCATCTAAACTCACATCCCATCCCCCAACTAATAATTGTAATTAGCACAACAATTCCTAACCCTTGGGCAGGTATTTGATTCCATTTCTCCACTTAACTGCATGGGACCCCTGCTTAACACCTTTAAGCCAACGTCTGGTCTGTCTTACCTCATAGGCATGATATGAAGATTCAACAAATGAAAACATAAGTAGTATGCGACCTCTCTGCATTGGGTTACTGAACTTAACAAGCTGTGTGGTCTTTGGAACAAGACTGTAATTTATTGATTCTTATATCAATGCTATTTGTATCATACTGTTATTTTATAGATTAGAGAACAGATTCTATATCAGTTCTTGAGCAGGTCTCTGGCCTCCCAATATAGAAATTCCTGTTTCTAAGCCAGGCGTGGTGACACACACCTGTAATCCCAGAACTCGGGAGGCTGAGGCAGGAGGATCGCTGTGAGTTTGAGACAAGCCTGGGTTATATAGTGAGTTCCAGGTCAGTCTCAACTACATAGTGAGACCCTGTCTCAAAAAAAAAAAAAAAAAAAAAAAAAGAAAAAATCCTTGTTTCTTTTGGCCTTGAAGTAGCCAGATCTCAAACTCTAGTCTCCTACCTCTTCTTGCTAAGGCAGCAGTGACCTAGAGGGTGGCCCACCAGGTCTTTTGTGGCCCCTTCACCCTTCCTAGCTGTGAGAATGATGGGCAAAAAGCAGGTTTGGTGCCACAGAGCCACCTGGAAACTCCATAGCAATTGGCCTGCCCTCCCCTTGGCCACAGGGGACAGGGCCTGTGCTCAGAGAAAGATCTGGCTGGGAGCAACAAGGCTTTTCTCTCTGTCCCCTTTTCCACCCAGGGTGTTCTGTACTGACGCTTCAATCTGTGAATGTGCTGCGCAAATACCTCTCCCTTCTGGATCTGCCCTGGTCTCTGCTGCATACGCAGGGTGTCCTCTTCGTGCTCACCAGTGAGGAAGTGGCACGGGCCAAGGTGAGCAGTGCGAATTCCTGGGCCTGACTCCTCAAAACCCCGCACAGGCCCCTCTCAAAGAACTTTCACAGGGGCTCAGCATCTGTCCCTGAGTTTAGAACCCGGCCAGCTAGAATGTGGGAAGCATAGACTTAAATGACTTTGACCTTTTATCTGATAAGAATTTTCTTAAAACCCTGCTCATTGTAGAATGACATGCTCACTGTAGAAAACTTAGAAATATATAAAGGCATCCAGAAAGTAAGAAGAAAATGAAAATAAAAATTACTTGCAATCCCACCACTCAGAAGTAACTGTTAATGTTGGGCTATACTCTTCAAATATATATAAGGAGTTAAATGTAACTCTTGCTATATAAAATCTGCTTTAACAAAATACTATGAACACTTTCTCCTGTGTAAATATTCAAAATGTAATGGCTGCCTTATATTTCACTGTACAGATGTACTATAAAATACTTCGGGTATCTTTTCTCTTTGAACATTCAGTTTTACCAGTTTTTTACAGTTATACCTGGAGCAATGCTCCCACAATGAGTCTATAAAGAATTCAGACCTTCCAGGACCTTCTGTAGAGAACTAGTGAGGGTGGCCTGCTATGCCAGTTGAGGAAGAGCAGGCCCACTGAGGCTCTCCTGGTAAAAACTCTTAGCTGGCAGTGGAACAATGAGTTGGGGAGATGCAGGTTGCGAAGAATTGTTCCAGTTTGTCTTCTGGTACAACCTCTAGTAGACCTAAATCCACCACGAAGAGAAAAATAGCAATGAATAAAACCGAACTGCTTTGTTAGAAACTCAAACATTGGTCTGGGGATTTAGCTCAGTGGTACCGCTGCCTGCCTTGCAAGTGCAAGGTCCTGAATTCGATCCCTGGTACCAAAAAGAAAAAAAAAACAAAACTCAAAGATAATTTTCCACAATAAAATTTATCCCTAAAAGGCACCTTTAGATGCTGAGAATGCATGTTGAGCAGAAACATTAAGCCTCTTTTTTTTTTTTTTTTTTTTTTTTTTTTTTTTTTTTTTTTTTTTTTTATTTTTTTTTTTTTTTTTATTTTTTTTTTTTTTTTTATTTTTTTTTTTTTTTTTATTTTTTTTTTTTTTTTTATTTTTTTTTTTTTTTTTATTTTTTTTTTTTTTTTTATTTTTTTTTTTTTTTTTATTTTTTTTTTTTTTTTTATTTTTTTTTTTTTTTTTATTTTTTTTTTTTTTTTTATTTTTTTTTTTTTTTTTATTTTTTTTTTTTTTTTTATTTTTTTTTTTTTTTTTATTTTTTTTTTTTTTTTTATTTTTTTTTTTTTTTTTATTTTTTTTTTTTTTTTTATTTTTTTTTTTTTTTTTATTTTTTTTTTTTTTTTTATTTTTTTTTTTTTTTTTATTTTTTTTTTTTTTTTTATTTTTTTTTTTTTTTTTATTTTTTTTTTTTTTTTTATTTTTTTTTTTTTTTTTATTTTTTTTTTTTTTTTTATTTTTTTTTTTTTTTTTATTTTTTTTTTTTTTTTTATTTTTTTTTTTTTTTTTATTTTTTTTTTTTTTTTTATTTTTTTTTTTTTTTTTATTTTTTTTTTTTTTTTTATTTTTTTTTTTTTTTTTATTTTTTTTTTTTTTTTTATTTTTTTTTTTTTTTTTATTTTTTTTTTTTTTTTTATTTTTTTTTTTTTTTTTATTTTTTTTTTTTTTTTTATTTTTTTTTTTTTTTTTATTTTTTTTTTTTTTTTTATTTTTTTTTTTTTTTTTATTTTTTTTTTTTTTTTTATTTTTTTTTTTTTTTTTATTTTTTTTTTTTTTTTTATTTTTTTTTTTTTTTTTATTTTTTTTTTTTTTTTTATTTTTTTTTTTTTTTTTATTTTTTTTTTTTTTTTTATTTTTTTTTTTTTTTTTATTTTTTTTTTTTTTTTTATTTTTTTTTTTTTTTTTATTTTTTTTTTTTTTTTTATTTTTTTTTTTTTTTTTGCTTTGATATTTATTTTTTTCTTTTTTGAGACAGGGTCTCACTATGTAGTTCTGACTGGCTTTGAACTCACTACGTAGCCCAGGCTGGCCTTGAACTTGTGGTGATCCTCCTGCCTCAGCCTGCCAAGTAGTGGGATTACAGGTGTGTGTCACCATGCCTAGCCAACAGTTCATTAATTTTTGTCCTTTATTATTGTATTTCTCTTCTACTTTATTCATTTCTTATTCTGTTCTTTTTAAATCACATATACTTGAAAGAATAGCTTTCTTCATTTTCAGACATTTAAAACATATACTATAATTTCCTTTGAAGTATTCCTTTATAGCTTACATTTTGAATTTATTTTCAATCCATAAGGTCTTGGGGTGTGTGTTAGAATTTACAAACATGTATGTTGGTCCTTATTATTTATAATATTTGTAAATGCACTTTCAAAAATTTATTTGTGGGGGCCAGGAATTTAGCTTAGTTTGCACCGTGCCTGCCTTGCAAGTGCAAGGTCCTGAGTTCAATCCCCAGTACTGGGAAAAAAAAAATTTGTGGGCTGGGAATGTAGCTCAGTGGTACAGTGCTTGCCTAGCATGCACCAGGCCCTAGGTTCTATCCCCAGTACCTTATAAAGACACACACACTCACACAGTTAGCCAAGCATGGTGGTGCACATCTGTCATCCCAGCACTCTGGGAGGCTGAGACAGGATTCCAAGTTTGAGCACAGCTTGGGCAAATTTGCACCCTAGTGAAACATTATTTCTAAATTGAAAAATTAAAAATGGCTGGGGACATAGCTCAGTGAAAAGGCCCTGGTTTCAGCCCCAGTACCATCATCGTTGTCATAATTTTAAAATAATTATAGTTATTTTTTAATTAATTTGTTACTTCAAGATCAATATTAGCTTTGCATTTTTGGTCATTCACAGGCATGTGCACTCACAAGGCAGTGAAAACTTTGAACCACCTGAGTACACATGCATGTTTCCAGAGATTTAGCAAGGCAGCACTGCTCTCTTGTTTCAGCTTTCACAAAAAAAAAAAAAAAAAGTCATTTTTGTGGTATATTTAGTGTCACATTTTTCTCATTGGCACATTTTTTGTGATTTTGCTATTTTAAATGGCTGAACTGTGCTGCTGAAGCCGACTAGTGTCCCTAAGCATAAGACACTATGATGTACCTTATGGAGAAAACTTGTATTAGGTAAACTTCATTTAGGCATGAGGTATAGCGCTGTAACCAAGAGTGCAGTCCTAATAAATAAACAGTATATATTAACTGTCTTTAAACAGAAACACATGTAAAACAGGGTGATATATTAATGAATTTAGGAAAAGGCTGTGACCAGAAGTTCACAGGAACCTAATCCCAGGTATTCACTAGAAGCAATGGCCTGGTATTCACAAATTCAGAATTCCCAGTGACTTTATCGACTGTAACTACCATAAATATTGCAAATTGACTGGATATATGTATATACGTAGTCCTATTGTTGATTTATAATTTACTTGCTTTGTAGTCAGTAAATGTGTTACACTAATTTTTTAAAATGTATTGAGATTTCCTTAGTGACCTAGATTATAAACTTTATAATCAATTTTTATAAATGCTAAATCAACATGTATACCTTTCAATAACATGTATTCTCTACTTCTTGCATTCAGGGCTCTAGACAGAGCTAATAGGTCAAGTTTAGTATTTATGTTAAAACTTTTATATCTTTACTAATTTTTTTATTTTGGCTTATTATTTTTTGATAAAACTATAGAAAGATTTCCCACTCTGCACCTGTATTTGTCCATTTACTTGTTTCACCTCTCACACTGGAAAAGTGTGTCCTTTTTGTAGTACATTTAGTGCCATATTTTTCTCATTATCAGCTTTTTGTCAATTTTTGCTTTATTTGCTTTTAGGTAGATAAAAGATCAAAGCTATATTCCTTTTGTTTTTCTGTAGTATCCCTGTTTAGGCTAGTCTCTGTGTGGCTTATCTTTTTTTTTCCTTCAATCCTTTTATTTTTAGCTTTCTATTGTGATTTTTAGTTGTGTTTTCTGTAAACTGCTATGAAATATCTGATAGCAGACATATTTGTTCCATTTTTATTTGTAGCTAATGATATATTTAGACTTATTTTTCTAATCAATCTTGTTTTCTGTTTACTGTTCCCTTTTTCTTGAGTTCTGTGGAATTGGTCAAGTTTTCCGTAGTCCTTTCCCCCTTTTTGCTTTTTTTTGGGGGGAGGGGTTGTGTGTTTGGTTTTGTTTTGTTTTATTTTGTGTCTTTTGGGGGGGTACCGGGGATTGAACTCAGGACCTCGTACTTGCCAGCCAAGTACTGTGCCACTGAGCTATATCCCCAGTCCTGTTTTTGTTTTGTTTTGTTTTGTTTTTTGAGACAGGGTCTCAATATTTACTTCATGCTAACCTTAAACTCTCTATGCAGCCCAGGCTAGCCTCAAACTCTAGCTTCCTGAGTGCTGAGATTACAGGTGTGCACCACCATGGCTGGCTCTCCCTCTTTTTTTTACCAGCTACAGATGGTATTTGTGTGGTGACTTCTAAAATTTTAATGTCACCCTTAACTATAAAGTTTATTTTGTTTTGTATTTTGAGACAAAGTCTTGCTTTGTAGTTCAGGCTGTCCCTGAATTTACTATGTAGTCCAGGCTGACCTAGAACTCATGGCAATCATCCTGCCTCAGCCTCCTGAGTACTGGGATTTCAGGCATGTTTGTTCCACTACCACATCCAGCTCCATAACTATAAAATTCAAATAAGTGAGTTATTCAGTAATTTGTGATCCTTAGCACAAGAACTTTGCACATTTAACTGCACATGATCAGTTCTGCTCTACTCTCTCCTTACTGTAGCTTAGTCTACAACTGGTATATGCTTGATTCTTGGCCCCATCATTCTTACACATTTCTTCTTGGTTCCTCTTTTGCTGCTGCACATTCTTTAGTAATTTTGCTGCTGGCGTTTTGTTTTGCAGTGCTGTGGGTTAAACCCAGGGCCTTGGGCATGCCAGACAAGTGTTCTTCCACTGAGCTAAATGCCCTAACAATTCTTCAGTAATTGTTTTAGTGAGAGTCTAAAGGCAAATTCTCTTAGCCTTTGAATGTTTAAATGTTCTATCTTTTCAGTGAGTTTAGCTGGAAAGGATAGTTTATTTCCCCTTCGCTTTTTTTTTTTTTTTTACTAGATATTGAAGCCAGGGCCTTTACACTGAGATATATCCCCAGCCCTTTATTTTTATGTTTATTTATTTATTTACTTACTTATTTTTTGAGACAGGGTCTCACTATGTAATTGAGACTGACCTGGAACTCACTATGTAGCCCAAGCTGGTCAACTCACAGCAATCCTCCTGTGTCAGCCTCCTGAGAGCTGGGATTAAAGGCGTGAGCCACCACGCCCGGCAAAATAGGTGCCGGTTCACTCAATTTCTAGTCAGGAAACTTGAGTACAGGCTGGTTCTAATGCATTGAGTTCTTTGGTGACTTTTTTGTTGTTGTTGTTACCGGGGATTGAACTTGGGTCCTTGCTTTGCAAGGCAGGTGGCAGAACCACTGAACTAAATCCCCAGCCCTCCTTTATTTTTATTTTTGAGACAAGTGTTTCACTAAATTGCCCAGGCTGGACTTGAACTTCAGATCCTCCTACCTCAGCCTCACAGAATGCTGGGATTACAGGTGTGTACTAGCATGCCTCACTTTTGGAGGATGACTCTCTGTATTTGCCTTTATCTTTGGCAGCATCTATGCTCCTGAAAGCCTGGTGTTATATAATCTTTCTGTATGTGAAAATCACTTATTTCTGGGCCCTTCTGTTTTATTGTAGTGTGGCTATGGAAGATCTTGTTCACCTGATTCTGCTTAGAATTCTCAAACTGAGCACCCACACTTAGCACTTCACCTGATTCCTCTTCACTTGCCTCTAGTGTGGCCTTCCTTTCATTCTCTCTCCAGGACTCCTAGTAAACACCTAACAGGTCCTACTAATCTCAGCTTTGTATCTTTTTATTTTTTTATTGTTTTCAACGCTAAGGTTGGAACCCAGGGCCTCTTACTAAGCAAGTGCTCTATCACTGAGCTGAGCCACACTCTAGCCCATTTTGTGGGGGTTTTTTCTGCCCTTTTCGTTTTATTTTTTATTTTGAGACAGGGTGTTGGTAAGATGCCCAGGCTGGCCTCAAACTTGCAATTCTCTTTCCTCGGCCTCCCAAGTAACTGGGATTACAGTTATAGGCTATCATGCCTGGCTGTTTCTTAATTTTCCCTCTAAATTTTTCTCTATTTCATAGGTTTTCCAAAATTTGTCATTTTAAAATCTCCTGTGTACCACTGTTGCATGTTTTTCTCATAATTTCTTTTTCTCTTAGTTTTATCTTTTTTTTTTTTTTTTTTTTTTTTTTACTGGGGATCGAACTATTTCGTTTTTTTTTTTTTTTTTTTTTTTTTTTTTTTATACTGGGGATCGAACTTAGATCAGGCAGAACCACTGAGCTAAATCCCTGGCCCAGTTTTTCTTCCTTTATTTAGCTATTTGAACATCCTAGATTTAATTATTTTAGTGTAGATAAACTGTTCTATAAGCCTGTTTTCATCTAGAATATATTTATGGTTCAAATGCTGATTTTGTTAGCATTTCTGTCTTTGTATTAGGTTACTTTGTGTCAAAGTCCATTCATTAACTTGGGGAAAAGTACTGTAAGTTGTTGAGTATGGGGATTTTATCCTCCTCTTCCTCTGTGACCCTCCCCATCTAGGAACTTTGCAGTTGCTGAATGGCCAGAATCAGGTCCCTCGCTGATTCAGCAGTTACCAAGGCTCAGTGCTGCTGTCCCTGCATTCTGCTATCTGCACTACAGCAGGCACTGTTTTCCCCCAGTGCTATTCCACACGTGAAGGAGACCCTTCCCCCTCCAATCTCTGACCTCTAAGTAGGGGGTCTCCTGTCTAGCAAAGTCCCTAATTGGCAAACCTCCACCTCAGTACTCACTCCTGTGTTTACATTCTGTCTGTTCATGGTGCTGTTGATCTTAATTTTCACCCATTAATGTCTTTTTTTTTTTTTTTTTTGTATTCTCTTTATGTTTTTCTGTCATGGCTATGTGTACCAAATAGGAAGCATCAATTTCCTGCATTCACCATGTCAGAACAATGGAATTATTTTTTGAAAAGTAACTTTTGCTAGCAAAGTGGTTAAGGATCAAATTACAAATCACAGTTAAAGCTTTTTTTTTTTTTTCTTTTTTTTTTTCTTTTTTTGGTACTGGGGATCGAACTTGGGACCTTGCACTTGCGAGGCAGGTGGCAGAACCACTGAGCTAAATCCCCGGCTCCAAATGATGAGCTTTAAGGTATGTTTCATTTTTTCTTTTAAAATATTAAATATTTTTATAATCATGTATTACTTGTATAATCCATACTGTGGCCCAATAATTTACATTTCTCTAGAATTTAAAGGAAATGAACAAAAATGAGTCTATAAATTTATGTGTAAGAATGTTCATTAGTAATTTCGAGTAGCAAAAATAGGGACTAATATTTAGTAGATAAATGATATAGTACTATATCACCAGTAAAATCAGCATTTTGAAAGACAGGTAGTGAAAATGCTCCAGAAGAGGGAGAAAAACAAAAATATAAACTGTGCACATAATTTTGATATTTTTTTCAGTATTCCCTTAGAAACTTTGAACAAAACCAACAAAAAATATATAGTTAATGAAAAACTAAACTGACAATAAATAAATAATTTCTCTTTAAGTGCCCATCTTACTGAATGGGTGCTAAGTCACTGGAAGATTAGATAGGCCACTTGGGTGTCATGATGTAAGAAATCCTTATAACATGATGAGTATTCCAAGGAGAGAGAACTAGTAGTTTGAACTGTATAAAGGTCATCCCTTCTCCCATTGGTATCGTTAACATATTTTTTATTATGTTAGTCAAAATTCTAATTCTATTGTGAGTTCACATATCCTTTTTTGCTTCTGATAATAAAATCTACTTAATGTTTACTTGTTTCCTGTGGAAAAGATGATATATAGTATATTGCCTGAATATACTCTATGGTGATAATTCTGCTCCAATTCCTTGTATCATCTAAAGCTTGACTATCACAGGTATGCTCACCCTTCTAAAGTCATGTATGTTCTGATAATTAATGAGTTCCTTAAAGTTTTGCAACAATATTAACTTAAGCAGTTATAGTACTTAGAGAAAAATGAAAATCTTTTGTATATGTCATATATAGTTAAATTAGTTGCTGTATGTGTCTAAAAACTGAACTAGAGCTATGTATGATGGTGCACAGCTATAATCCTAGCTATTTAGGAGGCTGGGACCACAGGAGTGCAAGTTAAACACCAGCCTAGTGAGATCCCACCTCAAAATAAAAAGGAAGAGGGAAAAGGCAAAGATATAGCTCAGTGATTGATAGTGTTTACCCAGTATCCACAAGGCTCTGGGTTCAATCCCAGCACCATGGAGATTAAAAAAAATAAAACAAAACAAAAAAAACTGAACTAAAATAACAAGATAATATATATTCCCCTGCTGGAGGGTGGGGAAGGACAACATATACTGTCCCCCAAGAACTTCACATATCACGGGCAAGGACCCTACCACTGAGCTACATCCCCAAGCCCGTCTCTTCCTCTTATATAACATCCCTGTTTGTATTGTATAAGTGAGGTAGTAGAGCAAGTGATTAAGAATATAGGCTATAGAGTCAATCAGATGGCCCTGGGTTTGAATCTCAACTCCAACACCTACTAGCTATTTGAGATTGCTGAGTGTCTTCATCTATCTTAAAGAAGGAGGGGGAAAAAAAGCGTTAGCTAAGGGCCGGGGATTTGGCTCAATCGGGCACATGCCTGCCTCACCAATGCAAGGCCCTGAGTTCAATCTCCAGTACCAAAAACAAGTGATAGCTAAGGATGGTGGTGTATGCCTATAATTCCAGAATTCTGAGAGGCCAAGGCAGGAGGATCACAAACTCAAGCCCAGCGTGGGCAACTTAGCAACCAAGCAAAACCCTGTCTCAAAATAAAAACTAAAAAAGGAGTAGGGATGTGACTCAATGGGAAGGCCCTGGGTTGAATTCCCAATACCAAAAAGACAAAAATTAACACACAAAAATACCTAATAATAATAGCATTTAACTCCCAGCATTGTTCACTTTGAGTTGATGGTTGCAGACCACCAGTGGTATTGTGCTGGCAACAAGTGCCCTGCGTGTTCTTAGGAGCATCTGCTGTAACCACAGGGGAGTAAGGAGATGGGAAGCAAGGCAGTGCTGGAGACCAGTCTACATGCTACAGGAAGATGCCAGATAAGCTACAGCGTGCAGTGGGTTAGAGGGAGGAAAGATTTCAGAGTGAGAAAGCAGATCTGAAAGTAATGGAAATAAAGTGTCCGTAACTGGTACTCTGTTTTTTTCTAGAAAGCCATGTCCTGCCATCGTAGCCAGCTCTTGTGGTTCCGTCGTCTCTACATTTTCTTCTCCAGGTACATGAGAATCAACTCACTGCACTTCCTCTCAAGCCTTGAAGTGTTTTCAGATCTAAGGAATAAAGGAGAACAATAGACCAGGAACCCCTGGGACCTGGCCCGAAGCTGACTTAATTCTCTGAGCCAAAGGAGATCACAGCTAAAGAGAGGCCATGTAGACCAACATTCTACCCAGTCTTCCTTAGGCTGGGGGAAAACTCTGAAAAAAACAAAATAAACCAACTGTGGATAGTAATAGCTACCTACTAGCTTCACAAGTTTTTGTGAAAAACATGTGCATGACATAGTGTATGTCAAATATCTAGCACAGAGCTCGGCAGGTTACTGCCATAAATGAATGTCAAAGTGCTCTAAAACACTTCACAGTTGGGGAATCAGCTCAGTGGTGCAACTGCCTGCCTTGCAAGGGCAAGGTCTAGAGTTTGATCCCTGGTACAATTAATTACAAATTACAATTAATTAAAAATGAATTAAATGAAAAATAAATAAAACACTCCATGGATGAGATTTTTACAATGATTCTAAAGCAGGGTGTCTTGGTTCATTTTCTGCTGCTATAACTGAATACCACAAACCCAGTAAGTATAAAAAAATAAAGAGATTTATGTAGCTCACAATTCTGGAGGCTGGGAAATCCAAGAGCATGGTGCCAACATCTGCTTGGCATCTGGTGAGGGGCTTCTTGCTGTATCCTAACAAGGCAGAGGATGTGACATTGTGTGAGACAGAGTAAGCAAGTGATGGAGTGCTCAATTTTATAGCAAAGTCACTCCCACAGTAATTTAGTAATCCACTAATCCATGCATGACCCAGTTACAGTGGACCCTCAAGTTATGACTGGCCTGACATACAAACAACATCGGATAGGTCTGGAATTTTAGTTTTAACTTACAACTAAAGTCTTGAGTTACAACCTGAATGCCAGCCACTTATGTTTCCAGATAGTCTCAGATACAGATTTAATCCTTACAGAGTTCTGGAAGGAACACTGCAACATCCTTTGCTGTATGGGGTTAGTTGAGAAATTCTGGGCCAATGTCTCTCTAAGGACACTGAAATCAGCATGTATACAGGAGAGAGACTGAAGGCTATGTAGAGGAGCCTGAGCCTTCAACTGACCAACCTGAGTTACAACCAGCTCTCATGATGAAATGAGTTCATAAGTCAAGGGTCCACAGTACCTCCCAAAGAGTCCAGGCTGGTCTCAAACTCACAGCGATCCTCCTGCCTCCGCCTCCTGAATGCTGGAATTACAGGCGTGCACCACCACGCCCAGCCTTCCCCTTTTAAATTTTGAGACAGGGTTGCTAAGTTGCTGAGACTGGGCTCAATCTTGTGATCCTCTTGCCTCAGCCTCTCAGAGTGCTGACATTACATGAAACTAAAACAAAAAAAAAATTAAGGGCTGGGGATCTAGCTCAGTGGTTGTGCTGTCTGCCTTAGAAAAAAAAAAAAATTACGAACCTAATGTCTTCCAAAGAAAAGCTTGTCTGGCTTGGAAGTTACTATCCTGAGGCAGGGAAGCTCAGTTGTGCTGACCTTGAGCTAGAAGCCAGAATAACTGACAGAATTACAAGCAAGGGACCAAACTTTTTTCTGCTTCAATTCTTTTATCTGCTAAATGGGAAATATTAATGGTCCACTCTTAGAACTGAACAAGAAGATGCATTAAGAGGCACAGCGGAATATGGTTTACAACACCAAGAAAGATTAATTGCTATTGTTCTGAGAATGAATAAGTTGGCACTAAGCAGAGGTACTGGCATACACAACCTCTATGGAAGACAATTTGGAAATTTCTAGAAAAAAATTACATTTTGATCCAGCATTTTTACTTAAACTAATTTATACTTTAGATTTACTCCACAAGCCTAAAGAGGTATGTTAACTATAGACACTGAAACACTGATTCTAACAGTTAACTAGTCACACAGTCAAAATGTCCCCCAATTAAGGTCTGATGAAATAAACTGAGTTTATTTCAAAAGAAATAGAAAAGACTGCAGGACTTTTTTGAGTTAAGGCAGTACATCAAAATGGAAAGATTTCTAAGGCATATTATGTGACAAAAGCAAGATGTAGAACAGTGTTAAGAGAATGCAACCATTTGTGAGGGGGAAAAGTACATTTCTACACATGCATGTGTGTCAACATACTATCCCAGTAATTGCTTGTCTTTGAAGAAGAGAAGGGTAAGAGGAAGGGAATTTATACCTTCTGAATTTTGTACAATTTGCATATATTACTACCTACTCAAAAATATTTTCAAATCTTTTTTTTTTTTTTTTTTTTTGGTACCAGGGATCAAACTCGGGTCCTTGTGCTTGCAAGGCAGGCAGCAGAACCACTGAGCTAAATCCCTGGCCGCAAAAATATTTTCAAATCTTAAGAGGTTAGAAAGATGTATAAAATTTCATTGCTCCTGGTTGAGAACTGAGATTTTCTGCCTTTTTACTTTTGTTTTACTGTACATTCCAAGTTTTTAAAATAAATTAAAATCTAGAAAGGAAATTGGAGTGTTTTTATTTGCTGACTGCCTCGATGATGCCGCCTGAAGCTAAGGTCTCCCTCCCTTGTCTCCTTCCCAGCACCCAGGTGTGTGTACATGCAATGGCAGTTTCTAGTTTGGGTTCCTGGAAGAGGACACCACCAGAATTGGGCTTTCCTTAGTTCTAGGACAGCACCAAGGAACACACAACTAGGCAAGAAGGCCTTTGGAGGCCAAAAGGTAGCTACGAGCAGTCCCTTGGTACCCTCCAGGTGGAATGCAGCCCTGCAGTCACCCCTGTGGCAAGGGGAGGGTGTCTCTGTGCAGATTACCCAAAAGCAACATTTCCAACTACTGGACATGTTCCCTCCTTCATTCTGTCCCTTCCCTTCCTTGGTGTCAGATACCCTTTTGAAGTTAACACCCAGATGCTAAATTGGGCAGCAGCTCTAAAGCCTGGAACAAAGGAAATTTCATAATTCCTGAAGGAACCTAGAAAAAAAGAGAAGTCAGGTGTGGTAGCATACACCTGTAATCACAGCAACTCCCAAGGCTGAGGCACGAGGATCCTGAGTTCAAGGCCTGCTTGGGCAATAGGTGAAATTACTGAGGAGGAACAGGAGAGAGAACAATCTCCCACCTGTGTGTGGGTTGGGGGAGAAATTCAACTAAGAATCCCCTAGGGAAGTGGGGAGAATAGGGGAAAGGAAATAAGGGACAAGAAAAAATATGAGAAAAGGAAAAAATGGAAACAAAGTGTTTGTAAATAGGGGAGGGTAGAGGGGGTGGAGGGAAGGGATAAAGGGAAAAATGAGAACCAAGACCTGTCGTGTAAAGGTACAAGATCCCAATGATGGTTGTAACTGTACTGCATACCTAAAAAGTACCAATAAACTCAATAAGATTAAAAAATAAAATAAAAAAGAATCCCCTAGAGAAGTGCTGCATCCAATTGCTCAGACCTAGGAGGGACACCAGGCTGGAGCTGGAGCTGGAGCTGGAGCTGGAGGGGGTTACCTTCATGTCAGAGAGACCTGCCCTCAGCCCACACACACACCCTCAGGAAAGGGCTGATGGTTTGTCAGTTCTTGTTCCTGGGCAAGAAGAGAAAGTTCTGGGGCTCCCAGCCCTCCTGCTTTGACCACTACTCAGGAACACTGATCTGTGAAGAAAATAAAAACCAGGAACAAACAAACCAAATACAAAAGAGGAATCCCTGGCCTGAGAAGGCTCAGAGATGGGGCAGGAGGTGGGGAGGGTTCTATTCTCTGGAGGAAAGAGATCTCACTGAAGGAACAGTTACCAGGGACTGTCGAACACCATAATGAAAGTTCTAGCTCTGGGCCAGACAAAAAGGGTGTTCTCAACAGTGGTCAAACTAGCAATCTGCAATATAAAGTAAAAGGTATACCTGAAAACAGAGGGAGAAAAACAAGAAATGGAGATCATGGCAGGGATGTAAACCGAAAATACAGGGCAGGGGATTTAGCCCAGTTTCACAATGCCTGCCTCACAAGTGCAAGGTTCTGAGTTTGATCCCTGGTATGCTGGACACACACACACACACACACACACACACACACATGACACGGACACAACAACATCCGGGTGCCATGATATAAATCTCTGGGCATGGTGGTGCTAACCTGTAATCCCAGCACTCAGGAGGCTGAAGCAGGAGAACTGCTTTGAGTTCAAGACCAGCCTGGGCTACATAATGAGTTCAAAGTCAGGATGAACTACATAGTGAAATCCTGTCTCAAAAACAAAAGAAAACAGAAATTCCAGAAGGAGAAAAGGCCACAGATGGACAAGCAGTTAATAATCTGAATAAGACTTGAGTCAGCACATTAATAGAGGCCACTAAATCCCAAAAAGCTTTGATTTGTTAAAAAAGAAAATTTCACCAATGTGTTGTGAAATTCCTAATTGAATTCAAAGTAAAGAGGGTCAAGGGGATGCTATGAACATCAAGTATCATTGCATAGGGTGACAAATGGTAGACAGAAATGGGGTTCACTTGAGATTGTTAGGAAAGGAAAGGTAACCACTTACAGAATGGAAAAGCATTTTACCCAAACTCACAAAGAGACAGCAGAAATTAAGAGAAACTTTAAAAGGCTACAAAATAAAGTAAAAAATAGAAAAGAGGAAATAGGCATAAATGCAATAAACTTAATGACAGACTACAAGTAGAATAAAATCAGCTAAAATTTAAAAAAAGAATAAAATTAGCTCTCAGTTACTTCCAGAAAATACAAATGGGCTGAGTTTGCCTAGCAAAATACACTAATGCCAGGGATTTAGCTCGGTGGTTTTGCCGCCTGCCTCTCAAGCACAAGGACTGGAGTTCGATCCTAGAACCAAGGTAAAAAGAAAGAAAAGACACTAATATCCCAGCATCCAAGTAGTTCCAGCTACTCAGGAGACTGAAGCAGGAGGATCCTACATTGGGGCAAATTAGTGAGACCCTATCTCAAAATAAAATAAAAAGGGCTGGCAATATAGCTCAGCATTCCATGGGGTTCAAACTGCACTACTGGAAAAAAAACTATCAAGTTAGATGACAAAATATAGGTACATATTTAGGTGACAAAGGCCAAAAATAAAGGATGCATCATATACTATAGTCCAGGTAAATGGAGTGGCACAGCAACATTATAAATTGAGGCCAATATGACTCAAAAAGCATTAAACTCAACAAAAATGGTTTTTCAGAGCAGATTCACTCCATGAGCCAGATACCTGAAACAAAATCACCTAGAAGTATAAATCTTTATTTTTAAAAAAACAAAATGTTTTTCCAGAATTCTGACAAATCAAGTTGGCAAACAGTAAAACCAAAACATTTCTAAAAATCAAGATTTGCTTTTTTTCTTTGTGGTACTAGGGACTGAAATAAGAGTGCTTAGCTACATCCTCTGGTTTTATTATTTAATTCTGAGACAAAGTCTTGCTTAGTTGCCCAGTCTGGCCTCAAATTTGAGATGCTCCCTTTTCAGCCTTCTGAAAAGGTGGGGTTTCAAGCAAGTATTACCACACCGAGCAACATTCACTTCTTATGTGATAGAATATATACAAAAGTAAATTAGTTATGGCCACTGAGAAATTCTTTTTTTTTGTTGTTTTTTGAGACAGGGTTTCACTATGTAGCTCAGGCTTGTCCTGAACTCACAGCAATCCTCCTGCCTCAGCCTCCCGAGT